TTTCACTTTCAATATTTTTTTCTACATCATTTACTATTATCCTGTGTTTTAAAAACCTCCTGTTTCTTAATAGTGTTCCCCCATTAATAACTTTTACCTTAAAATTCCTATCATTTGTTCCTTTCTCTATGATTAACCCTTTACTCCAGAATTTGTTTTCATTTCTAATTTGTATCCATACCGTATCGCCTACCTCAAAATGTTCACCTTTTCTTGCTGTTCTGTCATACACTATTTTTTGTTTCTCTGATCTCTTAATTAATTCTTCTTTTATTTGACTAGTATCTTTGACTTTAGAATTGCTCATACTGGGAATTAATGATTTAACTTTTCTCTTAAATAATATCTCAGCTGGAGCTGGAATAAGTTCACTAATTGGAGTGTTTCTGTATTCCATCAAACATTTATTCCAATCAAGACCATCTTCTAAAGCTTTATTTAACATTTTTTTTACTGTTTGTATGGCTCTCTCAACCATTCCATTAGATTGTGCATATACTGGAGACGAATTTACCAATTCCATATCAAAATCCTTAGCAAACTGTTTAAACTGCTCTGATGTAAGTTGTCTGCCACCGTCCGATTTCAAAACACTTGGAATTCCAAATCTGGCAAATATAGGGACCAATTCTGATATGACATGATTAGAATCAATTTTCTTTAATAATGCTATCTCCACATATTTTGAAAAATAATCTATTACTAAAAGGAAATTCATATTATTAATATGAAATATATCTATACCTACTATCTGCCAACTATCATCTGGAGTTTCACTTGGTCTCATGTACTCTTTACTCTTTGAGTCTTGATATTTTGCACACAACTCACAACTTTTTACTTTTAACTCAATATCTTTATTTATGTTCGGCCAATATACTGCTCCCTTAGCTCTCAATCTACATTTTTGTATACCTAGGTGATTGTAATGTATTTTATTTAAAACCTCTTTTTGCAAAGATAATGGTACCACTATTTTATTGTCTTTTAACAATAGCCCGTTGCTAATTATCAATGAGTTACGCACATTCCAATAAGCTTTTAAATTGTCTGGTATTTTACTATAACATGGCCAACCTGATACCACCCATTTTTTTATGACTCCCAAGTCTTTATCCTTCTCTGTCTCTTTTACATATTCATCCAGTTTTGCGGTTGACATAGGAAAATGTTCTAAAGTGCTTTGCATTTCAATTTCTGCTACTTTTAAAACATCATTTTTTTCATCCACATCCTCAATAAATGCTCTTGAAAGTGTGTCTGCTATATACATAAGAGAACCCTTTTTAAATTTTATACTAAATTCATACATTTGAAGCCTAATTCTCATTCTCTGTAATCGTAAAGGTGTATCTATCAATGGCTTCTTGAATATATACTCTAACGGTTTATGATCACTTTCTATAATTATTTTCCTACCATAAATAAACTGATGAAACCGCTCACAACCCCAAACTATTGCATACGTCTCTTTTTCAATTTGTGCCCACCTTGACTGTACCTCTGTTAATGCCTTAGATGCATAAGCAACCGGCAAGTTATCTTGAAGCAGAACCGCGCCTACTCCATACTGTGAAGCATCAACAGATAATATTATTTCTTTATTTGGATTGTAATATTGCAAAACCGGAACCTTACATAAATCTTCTTTTACTCTATTCCACATATTTTCCTCATTTATGCTCCACTGAAAACTAGAATTTTGTTTTAAAAAATCTCTCAGTGGTTTTGTTTTGTCTGATGCATGGGGTATAAATTTTGATATATAATTATACATTCCTAAGAATCTTTCAATATCTTTCTTACATTTTGGTTGTGCCATTTCTTTAATTGCTTTTACCTTATCAGGGTCTGGCCTAACTCCAGTGTTTGAGAACTCATGACCAATAAAAATTAACTTACTAACCGCCCATTCACACTTATCTTTATTTAATTTAACATTATTTTTTTCCAATCTATGTAGAACATTCATTAATCTAGACTTGTGTTCTTCTTCGTTTTTCCCAAAAACTAATATATCATCCATGTACACCTGCACTCCTTCAAGACCTTCTAACAACTGAGAAAAATGTTTGTAAAATATCTCTGGTGCTACATTCAGCCCAAAAGGAAGTTTGCGAAAACAATATCTTCCAAACGGAGTATTAAAAGTTGTTAGTTTAGAGCTTTCCTCACTTAATGAAATTTGATAAAACCCTTTTTTCGCATCTAGTCTACTAAAAATACATGCTTCTGACATTTTACCCATAATCTCTTCTACTGTGGCCATAGGAAAATGTTCTCTTTTTAAATTTTTGTTTAAATCCTGTGGATCTAAGCAAATTCTCAACTCATTATTAGGTTTTTTAATTACTACCATAGAATTAACCCACTCTGTAGGAACATTAACTTTTTTAATTATGCCCATCTTTTCTAATTTATTTAATTCATTTTTTAATTGATCTAATAAAGAAATAGCAAATTTTCTTGGTGCATGTGTTACTGGTTTAGCATCACTTTTTAGTTCTAAATTATAGTTTTGTTTGAAATTACCTACCCCATGAAAAATATCTTTAAACTTTTTATAAATCTCACATTCTAAATTAAATTTATCAGGATTTAATTGACAGATGTCTACTCTATTAATTAGCTTAAGTTCCACACATGAATTTAATCCTAATATTGGTACACAATTTTCATTATTTACAACAAAAAACTCTAAATATTGTTCATCATTTGACTTAATTTTACATAATAAATTAATTTTACCTAAAGCATTAATATCCGTACCTGAATAATTTACAAGTTTTTCTTTGCATCTGTTCACTGTGATAGGCGTTAATCCCACCGCGTTCAACACTGATAATGGAATTACATTGGCTTCTGCTCCCGTATCTAGTTTGAACTGGATCATTTTCCCTTGAACCTGTAGCTCTTCATACCACTGAACCGCTGCATTGGATGACTTGCGCTTTTCACATTTGCTGACATTGCAAAATACTGCTCCTAGACATAGGTCTCCATAGCTATCAGCTGCAGAAACGATATTGTTTTTAACTGATATTTCTTTAATAGTGCTCGTTTTTTTCGATTTCTTCCAATCATTTTTATTACTGTTATTTGTACCAACAGTAGACTTACATTTTATAGCAAAATGGTTAGGTTTATGACATTTCATACATTCCTGTTGATAAGCTGGACATTTATTGACATCATGTGTTTTACCACATCTTGAACAGTTTTCTATTTGTTTAACTGTCACCTTTTTTACATTTGATTGACCTTGTTTAAATTGTTTATTTTGTTGCTTGCTTAATTTCATTATTAATTTTTCTTCTACAACCGTGCTATTCATAAGTTGTTTTTGATCTTGAGCTGCTTGATATTTTTTAGTTAAATCAATTACTCTTTCTAATGTCAAATCAGTCTCTGACAGAAATTTTTCTTGTAATTTTTTATCAATAATGCCAGCCACTACTCGATCTCTAATAAGACGGTCCTTCATTGTTCCAAAATTACAGTTCTCGCTTAATTTTCTTAGCGCAGAAAGATATTCTCCGAAAGTTTCACCTACTTTCTGTTCACGAATGTTAAATTTGTATGCTTCGACACATTCATTAATTTTTTGCTTATAAAACAAATCAAAGAGTTCAATTGCTTTGTCAAGTTCTGTTACCTCTCCTTCTGTCTCGAATGTATCAAACACCTCTCTAGCGTCCTCCCCTATTATATGTAAGAAGATGGCTAGTTGTTCGTCCTTTTTCTTTTTTGATATACCAGCAGCCACTTTGTATATATTAAAATTCTTTTTCCATTTCGGCCATTCTACATGTGCTTCATGGATATTCAGTTCCTTTGGTGGCTTTAAGTTATCCATCATTATCTCATTGATCTGCACTATTTAATTATTAATGATAATACATACCGACTGCGCCATGTGGTGTTTTTTAAATATTAAATAACAATACTAAAAAACTAATTAACAACATAATTATTTATTTAATTAAATCAAAACATGACATATGAACACTATGTTCAGACTACAGAGGAAAAGTATAATATCACTAACTTTTAAACAACAAAATGATATGATAAGACTAGTTCAGTGAGTTCAGTGTTACCACAGTTGTAGTTCAAAAATATTATTCGTGGGGACTAGAAAGTTTAAACATATTCAAAACATTTAGATTAATTTTAAGATATTTATAAAAATATTAAGTCAACATTGTTATGCAATAATATAGTACAATGTTTTGTTATAATGAGAAGAAAATATTTATAAAATATTATTAGTCAAATATTCATTATCTAATCACTTTAAAATATTCACAAAATATTATCATTTTCCAAAATATGCTGTGTGGGATTAATTGAACCGCATACTTGCTTTTTTTATAGTATTTATATTATTTTATTAATATCCCAATAATAATTTTACTACCTTTAATAGCTTAACTAAATATCAAATAAATTATTATGGTTCGAACGGTAAAATTCAGTAAAATAATGTAACCTTTGACTATATTTTTTTGAAGTAATATTTAATATAGATACCATTGATAGCCATATTATACTATATTATACACGTATAATGTATATGTATACTAAATTAAGTGTTGTATATTAAGCATTAAATATCATATTATTATAATATTATATAACTTTTAATTGTAGTCTTGTTATTTGTTAATATCATACTTTTAGTTCAATTATTTATCAATTGCATTAACGTACAATATTTCATTATTTCAATTTAAGGAAATCAACGCTAAATATGGCCCTGGAAGTAGGTATAAAACAGAATTATAGCGAGTAAATCGGTTGTGGCTACAAAAATATCTTCCAAAACGTTAGATGTTATAATAATACAACAACTGTACCATATTATAATAGCTACAATGCCGAGCAACCATAGGAACTATAAAACAAATAATATATAAAATATACAACGATTTAGAACAATATAAATTGTTTTGACTTTAGAGCAGATATTTTAAATATTTTAATATTTATACTACAATATGATTTTGTCGATAAAGAATCGCATGATCAACAAGACTTTCCGACAAGACGGTTATCGCAGAGCTACAGGTGGGAAGGTTCGTGTCTCGTTCGCCGATATTGACGACATGAATAATAAAGTCAATAAAAATACGATCGTCGCACTACAACACGAATTGGACAAGCCACCATCTCCGAGCCAAAATTCAGAGGACAACCAGAGGTTGCAGACCTATCAAGTGGCAGGTCCGTCTACAGGTGGTTACCGTCGTTATCGGACATCCTCGAGGATCGACAACCTGGCCAAGCCCCTGGCTGGGTTGCAAAAACCGTCGGTTCGGCCGAGTGCCTTTTTACGGGGTAAATATGATATGATATCGCAACTATAATAATATTATGAACTATATCAATAATAATAATATAACGCGTAGTATTACGTCTTATTGCGTCGGTTAAAAGAAAAACACATATTATGTACACAGAATAATTTCAGTTGATCTAGGCCATATTATAATATAGTGTAGCTACCAAATGTATTTTCTTAGAAGTGCTCATTATAGGTATATGTATGATAGGTACTATATAATGACACAATGTAGAAGTCGTTTAATCACGTTACTAATAATAGTTTGTTCTTTCAATACAAAAATATATAATGCTATGGAATAAACTTGATACTACGACTACATTTTAAACAAGTAGGACCTCTGGACCTACCTACCTATTTTTTTAAGAAGTTAAAGACAGTGTGACTTATTTAGGACGTACTATTAAATTTAATTATAATAATATGTAACTTGACCACTTTTATACTAATGACCAAGTAACTATACCTATTTTAATCAAAAAAAAATCGAAAAACCAAAATAATTTGAATAATTTGATAGGTGTAATTAGTTTGAAAACTATCAGTTTTATATGGATTCCAAATGATATACCAAGAGGGCTTTTTTCAATAAAATAATGTATCGATTTATAATATTATTTTTGAAACTATTTATTATGGGAAATAAAATAATAACTGCTAAAAGTTTCGTTTCGTCAACCATGACTTAAAGTTTAGCTATTTACATTGTTATTCCACATGTATGACCATGTGCTCGTTATAGATAAAACTAAAATATCACAAATTGAAATTAAATATTATTCAACTGAAAAGAAAAACTAAATATCAACAGCTTCGTATTTCCACCCCGTTCCGGTAATCGGCACGTTCTTGCTCGATTTATTTTTGGTTTTTTTTCACTTGAAACATTTTTATTTGAGTTCTTCATCGCAGTATCTTTATAATACCTACGACGAGATGTTTATACAATAATACACTAATATTATATAAAATCGTTCACGGCACGGTATAATTATATTGTACTTGCCTAATATTTTACAGGAGTTGACCACCAGATTCCGTGGTGCACAAAAGGCCCAAACGTTCCCAATGAAAAACCTCAAGTAGTGCGCGGTCAGCAACCTCCACTACCACCACGAAAAAACACAGGGATGTCACATGCTGCCCTGATGTACGAGACATCGGAGCACATTAAACGATTGGTCAAGGACCGTACAACGCCTAAAGTGGAAGACGAAAAGAAGTGTTTCACGGTGAAGCCATTGTCGCTTGTTTACAAGCCATCGATCCGTATCCAACAACTCTCCAAGCCCAGGATCCGCCAAGTGAAGACGTAAAGATTGTCGTTTCAAGGTTATTTCCATATAACAAATGTTTTTGAAGAATTTTTTCCGGTATTTCCGTTTTTTCAGGTTAGGTAAACTATCTACCGATTGAAAAAAAGTTTTTTCTTTGAATTTTCTATTTATATTTAAGTACCGGCTTGAGAGCAGCTTGACAGGAGTTAACCCGCTGACACGTTAGAAGTTCACCGTCTGCTCCGTGGCCGACGCATAGGGCATTTTTACAAATTCACGGGGTTTAATGCGCATTAGGTAAATAGCTATAATATTTTTCTTTGTACTATATTCAAGTAGTTATACCGGCTTGAGAGCCAGAAGTTAGCTGTCTGCTTCCATGGCCGACGCATAGGGCCCTATGACACTCTCAGATAAAAAATTCAGATGGTGCCCCAGCCACCTCTAGTCCCTACTACCTCAACTCGGGTCGGGCGAGTCACGTGCTACTCTCATGAACGAGGCATTGAACCACATAAAGCAAAATTGTCTGAGAATCGGGGTTCATGACAGAAGTTCTTTTCCGTTGCAATAACGGCTTGTCATGTTTAACGACAAACTACTTCTGTCATCGCTGACCGGGTTTGGCATGAACCTCGGTGCTCAGCCAATTTTGTTTTATGTGGTCCGACTGTCCGAGGGCCTCGTTCTGGAGAGCGATAAGTTCATAGAACAAAGTTGGCTGAGTACCGAGGTTCATGCCGAACCCGGTCAGAAACGATGACAGAAGTAGTTTTTCGTTAACTATGACAAGCCGTTATTACAACGGAAAACAACTTCTGTCATCGTTGCATGAATCCCGATTTTCAGACAATTTTGTTTTATGTGGTTCAATGCCTAGAGTTCATGAGAGTAGCACGTGACACGCCTGACCTTAATTGAGGTGGTAGAGACAAGAGGCGGCTGGTGCACCATCTGAATTTTTCGTCTGGTAGCGTCATAGGTGTGCGTCGGCCATGGGAGCAGACAGCTAACTTCTGGCTCTCAAGTCGGTACAACTACTTGAATATGGTACAAAGAAAAATATTATTTTCAATCGGTAGCTATTTACCTAAACTGAAATGCACATTAAACACCGTGAATTTGTAAAAATGCCCTATGCGTCGGCCACGGAAGCAGACTGTGAACTTCTAACGTGTCAGCTGGTTAACTCCTGTCAAGCTGCTCTCAAGCCGGTACTTGAATATAAATAGAAAATGCAAAGAAAAAACGTTTTTTCAATCGGTAGATAGTTTACCCGACCTGAAAAAACGGAAATACCGGAAAAAATTCTTCAAAATCATTTGTTATATGGAAATACGATCATCACGTCTTCACTTGGCGAATCCGGCTTGGAGAGTTGTTGGATACGGAGGGAGGGATGGCTTGTAAATAAGGGACAATGGCTTCACCATGAAGCACTTCTTTTCGTCGTCCACTTTTGGCGTTGGGCGGTGCTTGGCCAATCGTTTAATGTGCTCCGATGCCTCGTACTTCAGGGCAGCAAGTGACACCTCTGTTTTGTTTCGTGGTGGTAGTGGAGGTTGACACAGTTGGTTAACTTCTGTCAAGCAGCTCTCAAGTCGGCAAGAAAAAATTCTTCCTAAACATTTATTGTTTGCAAAATTGTACATCGTACCTGTATTTTAATATGTTATGCAAATAAATGTCTGTACAAATAATAATTTATATTTTGTCAGTTTTTTTTTTAAATTTGCAATATTAGAAATATCTATAAAATATGTATAGATGAATACACAGTAAGCAGTATTATAATTGCGCTCTTACTGAGTGGTACGAGGGTGTCATGACAATTAAAGTTCTCGTGACGCAATGAGTTTAATTTGGATTATGATATTGATTTAGGAAAAATGAAAGATAAATGAGTATTTTTTTACCTTTATGATGAAGATTGTAGTGAGAACCAGTTGTAGTTTTTTCTTTATAGATAGAAACACAGAATATTAGCTGTACCTATTATGATTATTGATTAGAAGGAATTAAACAAAATATATAAATATTATGAATATTGTACGAAATTATTTATTAGTTATTACTTATTTGGTAGGTATTAAAGAATTAAAGTAAAATAATAAAATATGTAACATAGGTTTATTACAATGGTGATAATAATAAGTCATAGGTAAGTCATTGTTATCCCTATCTTTCTAATACAATATTATGTTCTTGTTATATTATAATATTAAGAAGTAGTATTGTATGTATTTAATTAATAATAATTAATAATTAATTTAACTTATATTAAGTACCTAACAAAATTGGCCACTGGGCCATGACCATACACTTCTAGAGTATACAGTGGCGTGCAAATATAATTCTTATAAAATTGTTATTAATTATCAAGATAATGAGCCATTCAATGTCAAAATGATTACTCAACCTCATTTTATAATAAATATCATTAATTTAGAGAATGTTTTAAGAATCTCAAAACTATAAACAAAATCTAGATTATTTGAATATTTTTATGCATTACAAAGGTACATATCTAAATAAACTTCTCAATTACCTACCTATTGAAAAATGTATGTTATAAATTATAATGCAAGTTTTTAGTGGGATTTAAATTTAATAATAATCTATTAGGTACCTACTGTTTCAGTAATTTTGCCACAAACCTTATCTGAAAAATTTGAGTTTTGAGAATATAACTAAGCTTGATCGGGATGAATTAGGTGAAATGCTCAAGAGTTCACAATAATAACAAGTATTAATATAATAATATCATACAATAATTTATTCTCAAAAATATCTAAACATAGTATTGCACAATGAAACAAAGCGTGTCCATAACCTTTAAGTTTGGTAAAACAATACCCGTTTTCAAGTTAACACAAGTTTAATTACAGAGTGTCCCATAAAGATTTAATAATTTGAAACAGTTGGATCATTAACATATTGTTTTAGCGTTAACTCTTATAAATAACAACCAAGGCTATTTGGAAGAAAATATTTTAGTCTCTTAAATAAACAAAAAATTCCAACTCAAAATTCTCCTATATATATTATATAATATACACAAAAAGTTTTTAGAGAACATTTTAAACAATTCCATTTTCAATATTTTTATGTTTGAATGTGCTAAGTAGTTAGTTGTCGTCACAACATTTATTTTGTTTTTGATAGCCCTAGGGACACTCTGTAAATATATTTAAAGAGTATACATTTCAAATCGATTTAATTAAATTATAATCATCAATATTACTTCCAATTATATAATGTGAAATAAATAATAATATTATATTTAAGTATTAAATAAATAGTTCCAATTCCCTCAAAATAAATATTTAAAATTATTCTTTGAAAATTGTGTGGCCCATACTAATGCAGGCATTAACCTAATTATTATAATAATGAACAGTGTACTTTTTTAAAAACAATCATAAGTATTAAATATTTTATTGGAGCACAGTGGCCAATAGGGCTAAGGTGGCAGTTCAAATGTGTTTAGCTGCCGGTACAAACCCGGCCACATGCGGCATCTCTCTCTGAGCAGACGACTGCCAAGTGTAAGAGACCACCATCCCTCATAAATAGAGAATAGCAGAAACTTACGCGTGCTCAATAATATATCTGCCAAACAGGCGAACTAACTAGGCCTTTGGGCATACTCCCATGTACGTACCATACAAAAAAAAAATATATATTTAATTTGACTAACTATACAAATTCCAAGTGATAAAATATGTAAAGCATAAAAATGAATGAGTCATTATTTCATTTAGTGTTGACTACTAATTTTGACATCTTTAGTATTAAATAAAAAAAAATTCCATCATAAAGAAGTGAACACTTGGTAGGGGACTCAAAATTTATGGCTTTTTCAAAACAAAAAATATGTATTATAAATAATAATCATAATTCATAGGTCATAACAAAGATAATTACAGAAACAATAATACATTTTATAAAGATTAAAAAAATTAATAAGTTAAGTTAATACATGCTTTGGTACATGTTGATAGGAAAAACAAAAGCACATGTCTTTTCATGTGCAGTTAACATTGCTCTGCATACAAAACCACTACCACAAGCACACACATAAGGTCTTGCACCAGTATGTTTTCTATAGTGAATTACGTAAGAAGACCGCTGCGAGAATGTCTTACCACACTGATCACATTGGTATGGCTTTTCACCAGTGTGAGTCCTGAGATGCAATACTAACGTACATTGTTTTGCAAAACCTTTACCACAGAAACTACATACGTTTGGTTTCTCTCCAGTGTGTAATCGTTTGTGTAACTTCAAATGTTCTCTGCTGGACAATTCTTTGCCGCATATGTCACATAGACAAGACATGGCTCTTTTATGCGTTCGACGGTGTAAAGCTAGTGAGCTACGATCATCAAACTTACGACCACATTGAGTGCACACATATGATACTGTGTCACCGTGTATAAGGCGCATGTGTGTTGCCAAGTATCGAGATAATGAGAATGATTTTTTACATGACTCACATTTAAATGGTTTATCACCAGTGTGCTTATTTTTATGTTCATTTAGTGAACTTTCTGTAATAAAATTCTTGTTGCATTCTGAACATGTATACTTGGACTGTTTTAGATGACGTTTTTGATGACGGTACATAGAAGATCGATGCTGTGTTGTATAACCACACGACTCGCATGAAATAGTAGGAGGTTCATTATTATGGTTTAAAACATGAGTGTTAAATGCCAAAAGATTTTGAAATGTACGATCACAGATTTCACATACATGCAGGGGTTTATCTTGTTTTTCTGTCAAACTATCTGGGGGTTCATCCACAGACTTGCTCTGATCTTCATTTTTAACTACAATCTCAGCATGAGCAGTTTTCTTGGGAGATTTAACAGACAAACGTTTACAAGGTCCAGACTTTCTTTTGCTCGGTCTAAAATTAATTGCAATAGGTATATTAATAAATATTAAAATTAAAAGCGTTAATTTATTTTACCTTCTAACCGTTGGCTTCTCTACATCACAATCACTTGGTGGCTGATTCTAAAATATTTAACATAATAGGTATTGTATTATTTAATTTTAATACAAAATTATTAGACATAATATAAATGACTCATTTCAAGTTTTTAAAGCTCATACATACATTGAAAAGTTTAAATCAACGACAGGAGTCATGGACCAATTTATTTGTATTATTAAAGGTTGTTATTACCATTTGATCCAAGATGCCGCGAAAATGATTCTCGGTGTCCTGGATGCACATAAAGAAATTATAAGTCTCCAAAAGTTTTCTATGACAACTGTTACATATCATTTTTGGGAACGGGTCTTCTTCTGAAAACTGATTTTTAACAACGGACGTCAATATTGTTAATACAATATAGTAGTATAATAATTACTACCTACAATAATTAGTTATACTTAATACAAATATCATGAGATATCTCCTGTTAAAATATACTGTCGCTTACTTTATTCGGTAAACACATATTTATTTTCTCAGCCAGACCGTCAGGATCTTCGACTATGGGCGTTTTTGCGTCGTCTTCCGTCAGACAGTACCGACAAAACCCAGACAGATCCATTGCAACTATCACTACGAAGCGTAAACGACAATAATTACATAAGTACGGACGCGAACTTCCATACGAATTCGGTCAATTAATTTGAAAAGTGAAAGAAAATTGATGGGCACCTCGCTGGTATATTATTATTATGTATGTACGATTTTACGAATGTGTAATGTTCCATTATTTCATCAATATTATTTCGTACTATCATAACCACAGACCATTCGCAACAGATAACATCAGCTTTCGGTTAACCATTCTAACCTCAAACGTTTGTTTTGTCCAAAAACGCCCTTTTTTCTGTCTACTTGGCATTTTTGAAATTTTTTAACTTCGCCAATATTGACGTTTTCCATAAGATCGACAGCAATCATTGCATACAATTAACATTAGATCTTGATGATATTATGCCGAACACCTTTTGTCGAACTGTTCGCCGTCGCATCTCGTAGCCCACTACGAATTTTTGGCCTCGGCCTTGTAATGGACTCCGACAACAATCTGAAAGTAATTGTTGCTATAACGTTCTGTGGTGTACCTACGCGATTCAATAATTTTCATAAATTATTGTTTAATCGCGTTTGATTTGTTTTAGAATTGACTCAAACAAAATATATAAATAAACGTAATGCACGAAAACGCATCAACAAAAGTGGCTGTTACTACTTCTGTAACACCTGTACATGGTCGTCCGGAATTTAGCAAACACAGAAATAGCAACCACCAAAGGAACCTTAGCCTTGACTTTCGGTATGATGTTACTACCTTAATACTACCTTAAACAGTACTTTCTTTTACCCTCTAGTTCGTCATATTTGTCTGGTGTCATCTGACTTAAGTAATAAAATAAATACCCATTTTGTTCTATGTAAAATGTTCTATTCATCATTTTTTAAAACTAATTTAATATAAATTACTGCCAAAATTAAATAGAATATTTTACAGTTGAGTTTTTATTTACAACTTGATGCACAAATAGTTGTATTTAAGGTTCAATCCAATCAATTCTAAAGTGTTAATATTTTTATTGAATTAAATATTCAGTTAGAACTTAATCATATTATAAAATACAACTTTCAAACTACAATTAATTGAGTTACATAATATTCTAAATCAATTGCATAACTAGGTACTTCAAAATTATTGCAAAACAAAATATAATCTAAATGAATGATCTAATTAAAGGTCAATGGGTATTGTATTACCAACAATAAATCATCCATCACACCACCGAAACCGCAGTTTGGATTCTGTACTTACTAAAATACCAGAAGTAGATGTGATACCGAGTCCTGAGTGTCCCGAACCAATATGTGCGCCAATATCTGACCCAAACATCCATTCGGATGATTCGGGTATTGGAAGGTAATTACTATTTTCATGCAAAAATTAAAACAAATAATAATTTGTCATATAGTTATAAATTATTATAGCTCAGAGATGGCGAGCAGCTGCAGCCGAGAAAGTCTTAGCTGTTCAGAACCCAGCCCTTCTAAACAGGGAATTTACGATTCTCAGACATTTGACAAAGTTTCTAAAAGCTTTCTGCTCAGGCTGATAGAGTCCAAGCTTTTTGATATGCCAATGGCCATTATGTACCTTTTCAATTCAAAAGAGCCTGGTGTCCAACGGTATATAGGTAATATACTTATCCTATTTGAATGAAACTTCAAATTATTCAAATATAACATATATATAATGCATGTGACTTAATTTAATTTTCAGGTGATAAATTGTTTAGTTTTGATGACAATTCAGTAGATTTTTTCTTGCCACAACTAATTAGTATGTACATACAAATGGATGACATAGCAGAAGCTATAGATCCGTATTTGGTACATAGGTATGTTCAAATTTATCAATTATAATAGTGATAGGTACCCAGGGCCGTTTTTAAGGGGTATTTCAGGAGGGCATTAGCCCACCCTGGCTTATGTTAAGGGATGATTATAAAAAACTAAAATTATGTTTTCTATTATGCAATAGAAAATTATAAATTAATAATAAATTTATAAATACTTTTTGTTATATTGGTCCCCAATCAACAACTGATGAATATTGTTAAGACAAAGTAAAATTTTTTTTTTAAATGATCTTTTTTGTCTAAATACTAAATTGGATATCACAAATCCCTATAATTACCTTGTGACTTGTTGCTTGTACTACATAGGAGTGTGCTATAGAAATCTAAACTTTATTATTTTTAATATAATAGGTAGGTATCTAAATATCTATCTCTGAAAAAGAGAATTGTCACATTGATTTATTATAGAAATAATCTATATTATATATTATAAAATAGAAGCCCATTTTTGTAAAAAAAAAAAATATCTCAAAAAGTAGGTACTTAGCAGATTTTAGTACAGTTTTATAGTTTAAATCTTTTTTTTCAACCCTTGTCCCTCATAGATGTCTAAATAAATAATTAATAGGTTAATGGGTAGCTTATTTAAATTTTTGTCATTGGTTACATAATATATTACTATTATAATTAGTAGAAATGTTTCATAAACATTTTTTTACAAATATTTGGCAAGAGCAACACCGGGCGAAACAGCTAGTAGTATAATATAATATACAATTCAGTCTTCCATAAAAGCTTGTTATGTATAATTTATAATTATATTTAGTCAATCATAGACAGTTATCATGACAGTTATTTTTGATTTTGTGTGAATAATAAATATAAATATGTACTGAAATTAGAAAAATCAATTATAACCAGTCGGGGGTGCCAAAATGTTGTTGCCACGGGCAAAAAATCTTAAATATGGCCTTGTAGGTACCACAAATGTACATTAATGTATGTTAATTAATTAACAACAATTTTAGGTGTCGTAAATCTTGTGATTTCTCTATTAAATGTGCATGGTTATTAAATGCCTTCCATGATTTAAATGCTGAATCAAAATCTCGTGGTGGTCAATTAATCAGTACAATTCTCAACGAGCATTACAAACAAGGACCAAGTGAACCAACCTCTTTAGACTCATTCAACCTATTAACAAAAAAGACTCATTGTCGGTCTAGATCTGATAGCTCGATGGTCAATTTAAATGGAATTCAAATAGGTAAGATTTAATTGCATAGTTTACTCAATTTATAATCTAAAACTTCTATTTAATAGTTTTAATCTTAAGTTTACTCATAATAATTTTTATCTTTTAATATTTAGTACGAGAACGAAATTTTTTAGGGGATTTAAGTTCTGGTATGGCATTTGATAATAGGTGCAGTTGCACTGAACAAATAGCTGAGTGTCGATGCGGTGTAAGTTAAACAACAAAAATATATTGAAAATTAAATTGTATATATTTATACTTTACAAATATTTCTACAGGCTCCAAGAATGTGTTCTGAAGTAGAATTTATTAAATGCTTAACAACACTTGGACGTGATTTGGCTAAACAACCAACGAGAGAAGCAAGAACTACTTATCTCTATAGCCAATTAAGTTTAATTAATAAGAATTTACCTGCTAAAGTTTGGATACCATTGTACAACTGTAATCATCATATTTTATCAATTCCTCCACGTGTAGCAGCTGTTTTGAATTCTAAAGACAAGGTAAATTATGACTGTTTAGGTATGTGATGATAAGGTGTTCAAACAATTTCATTTCATTTCAATTATTAAACATATTATTTCTATGTTGGATATTTGCATTATATTTCACTAGTAACTAAGCATTTCCCAAAAATGTTGATAGTCATACAAATAAAATTAATTATAATTATATAATTCTGTTAGCTTTAATTTTTCATAGTTTAACATATTAAATAAATAATACAATTATTCATATATGTTTAGGCTCCATTTATTATTTATGTGGAAGTCGCAGAAGTAGAAGATGCTGAACGGTCTCCCTTGACTACCCGGGTATCAAATCTTCGTCAAACACGTAGTGAAGAAAATCTCACTCGATGCGAGTCCCAAGACCTTAAACCAGAAATAAACAGTCAAAACATGTTTATTGTAGCTGGTGACATAAGACGTCGCCTCACCGTTTCCACTGATATTAAAAGTTCATCACCCACAGATCCCGAAGACCCTTCTGCTGCTGCACTCAAAGAACTTTGGTCAGAAAAAGAAAAACGTGTCAGGGAAAAATCTCCATATGGTGGTCTAGCCAACTGGAAACTGTTGCCCGTTATTGTGAAAACAGGTGATGATTTGAGACAAGAACTTCTTGCCTCTCAATTATTACTAACATTACATAGTATATGGATGTCAGAATTAGTACCACTAAAAGTTTTTCCGTATAAAATATTATGTTTGTCAAATGATGCCGGTTTAATAGAACCAGTATTAAATACTATCTCTTTGCACCAGATCAAAAAACAAAATAAAAATTCATTGTCGATGTATTTTGAAGAGGAATTTAAAGAAAATGCTTTGGTAAAAGCAAGACAGAACTTTATAGAAAGCTGTGCTGCATATTCCCTTGTTTGTTATTTGATTCAAGTAAAAGACAGACACAATGGAAATATACTTCTTGATAATCAGGGTAATCTTATACATATTGATTTTGGATTCATACTATCGGCATCCCCTAAAAATTTGGGATTTGAAAGTTCACCCTTTAAATTAACTTCGGAAATGGTTGATGTAATGGGTGGACTTGACTCGGATGGTTTCAAATACTTCAAACTACTAATACTCCGTGGTTTAATTGCTTCACGTAAACACATGGACAGAGTGTTGTCCGTCGTCCAAATCATGCAGTCTGCTAGTATGAAATATTTTTATCAGCTAAAGACTGTGATAATATGTCAAACAATATTTATTAGTTAAATATTTTGTTTTACAGATTCGCAGTTACCTTGTTTTAGAGCTGGAGCAACGGCTGTAATTGGATCTTTGAAATGCCGTTTCCATTTAAATCTTACAGAATCTCAACTGATATCGCTTGTCGATAACATGGTTGAGTCGTCATTGCATTCAATCACGACCAAATTGTACGACGGTTTTCAATACTACACTAATGGCATACTGTGATTGTTACACAATGCGTTACTTGGAATACACAAAACAATATGTATAAAGTCTCCTACATAGTATTTACAAAATTGGCAAATGCTACTTCCAAGTGCGATTTTTTATTGGATGAAAATGATAAATGTTTTGCTCACTAAACCTGGTCAATGAAATACTGTCAATGTTACCTAATACTAATGTTAAAAAATCCTTTATTCTTTATCCTAAGAAAAATTATCAAATATATTGTAAGTAAACGAATCCCTTTGTATATACAAACACACACACACACTGTATTTGTACTATATCATTATTTTACAACAAATTGTAATTAATTTGTAAATTATTTTTTTTAAACAATTAAACAAAAATCTATTAATTAAATATCTCTATTATTTTTTTATTATACATCAATTATATTATTATTGTTAATATTATAGTACCTACCATCAATGGAGTATCTACCGTTGATTTCTATGCAGAAATAGTCAAGTTCCTTAATTATTTATCCATATTAATTCAATAAAATAATGACACTGCTATTTGGCACGTACTTATTTTTATGAAGGCCCATGTGAAAAATGTATTAAAGTTATAGCACTAAAAATGTTACTTTTTAGAACTTTATTATGAACTTTATAACTCCAAAATATGCAATGTAAATACCTCTAAATATTACAGAATATTATGTGAAGTACAGTCTCTTAGGCTGTTGTATATAGTTCCAATTCTAACTGTATTCTATTTTATTCTATTGTTCCATGAACACAAAAACAATTTAACAAAGTATGTGTGCTCCCATTCTTATATTTCAATAGCATTTTGCAAAATTATAAAAATATAAATACATTTTAAAATATCAATATTTAAAAATGTTTATACCTCACTTAAAAATTAAAATATCATAAAAATCCAACTAGAGAACACAAATTAACTTTAAACTTTTTAATAGTTCAATTCACCCCACTATTAAAGTTAACCACACAAAATTGGAACTACCTAAGTTTAGTAACAAAATATACATTTTTACATGTTATGCGTGTAATGCATAGACCTATAAACTAATACAGCGCATTCCACTCCGCCCAGCCGTCAAAGCTAGGCGATCATAATATAATAACTTTATAACCACAGAATATATTCACCGAGAGAGAAAGATTAAAGAACATTAAGTAGAAAATAGGGGCCTTCATAAAGAACTATATACATTTCACTTTGTTTCCTTTCTTGCTCACCTGACTTCTCTCTCTAATTGCAGTCAATTAGTTTGAATCACGGACGTTTCGCGCCCATTAAGATAGGAAATTTGGCCCCCTGAAGTTATATGTGATTTCAGTGGCGGATCCAGGAGGTGGAGATTTTCCCCCAATCACCGTAGGTCCCCTACTAAAATTGAGCCCCGGATCTGCCACTGACATACAAACATACACGTTGGTTGATGTACTGTCATAATAGACAATGTGGTTGCAATGTGTTGTTATATAAAAGTTAATATAAGTTACTAAGTAAAATCAGTGCCGTAAAAACCGGGTGTGCAAAGTGTGCACCGCACACAGGCCTCGGGCCTCATAATATATCGAAGGGCCTCAAAAGATCTAAAGACTAATATTAAACTAATATAAAATTATTAAAATATATAAATTATTTATTATTGATTTGGAAACGAAACCAATGTATTTCATTTTTTTTATATAGCATGGAGTTGTGATCACTGTTTTTAGATTTTGAGAGGAACGAACAAATGTATTGATTTTACAAAACATGTATAATTTTTTTTCATTTCTGTCGGTCATCAACATTGGGTAGTAAAAATATTCCGAATTTCGAGATCAGATTTTTTCTGTTAGAAAAGTGAATCTAGTTGGTACTTTTTGGAGATCGAGACTGAAATTTTTAGTTTTAGATATAACAAAGCGTCAATAAAAAAAAAAAAAAAAATTATCATTTTTACCTAAAACCAAAAACTGTATTTTTTGGTATACTCGAAAACTAATAACCGTAGACCATTGAAGTTTTCAGCAAATATTTATATTAATATTTTCAATAAATTACATTTTGGAAAATTTTTACTTTTTTGAGTTAGTTATAGCCTTGAGAAATTGTTTTAAAATTATAGATTATTTTAAA